TTCAAGTCATTTGCTGATGTTTCCAATCAAACCTGACATTTCCAAGCAGGTGAGATTTATAACATTTGGAGTTTATTCCTCACTTCCATCCTTCTGCAAAGGCTTGTGCTCTGTTTTGGACTCACGCGCGCGCGCACGCACACACACACACACACACACACACAGAGATATTTCCCTGGGATAAGCTTCACTTTGGGCCCATCCAACCAGATGGAGCAATGTGGGTTTTTTTTCTAATGGAAAGGGAAAGAAAACCTGCAGACAGGTTGGTCAAGGCTGCCTGCCTTGTGGAATCAGGCTGCCTGCCCAGGTGACCAACAGATCCTGGGTTCCATCCACCAGCTTAGACTGAAGTTGGAGAGCTTGTTTTATGGTGGGTGCAGAAGACCACTGAGCTGTAAACAGAGGATAGGAGGGACTTCAGAAGGGCCTGGGGAGCCCTTCCATTCGGCCTATGGAGGCTGGCCGGCCAGCTCTAGAATCTCCCTTTTAGCCTAAATTTTCTGGAATGCAGCAGGGACAGGAGGCAGCCGTGTAGCAGAGAAGCCCCAGGGCCCTGCAGCCTTCCTGCAATTTGGAATTCATTAAGAAAGGGAGAATTCAGAGCATTCCAGGAAGAGGCCTGCAAGAAGCAAAGAACGTAATCACTGGCATTATCAGCGTAATTGTTATGGCAAGGGAACTGCTGCAGAATCTCTGCTGTAATTGTCTTAACCACTTTGTTGTCCTCTTCTAAAAATATAAATGGGGATATTTGTTTAGAAAGACCCTTCTGGGTCCAAGGAAAAAGGACCAGGTGGGGGAAGGACCGCTGCAGAATCTGGGGGGGGGGGAAGGGGGTTATGAAAGGGTTTCTGAAGTGAACCCTGGGAAGAGCCACATGCATCTCTGGATCCACCCATCTCTCCATCAGAGTAAATGATTCCTGCAGTGGAAAATGGAGAGAGACCCCTTTCACTCCAGGAGGAAAGAACGTGCTCCAGCTCCAACCTGGGAGAGGAGCCAGTTAGAGCCAGTTAGAGCAGGGGACAAGGAATGCACTGGAGGCCTCCGAACACCTGGATTTCGCTTGCTGGCTTCAATTATTTAATGAAGAAGAAGAAGAAGAAGAGGCATCTAGTGTGTCTCAGAAGCCAGCCAGCCAGAGGAGAGGGAACTGGGTGTCCTGAAGACCCCACGTGGCCCAGGAGTCCGTGGGCCCTCACCTGCACGAGCAGGCAGGATCAGCCCCTTTCAGGTTATATCCCACCTGGTCATTCCCCTAAGTCTAGCACATACAGTAACTGGGGGCTCTGGCCTTCCCACACTGCTGGCTGAATGCTTGGGGGAGGGCTGCACACAGTGTGTGTGCGTCTTTGGGGGCTTTGTGTTTGCTGCTCCAGAACCGCGCTCCCCCCAGCAGCCCCAGTGGGCGAGCGAGCGAGCGAACGAGCGGCTGAGAGCTGCAAATTTGTATTCCGTCCGTTCAGCCTGTTTGAGCACCGCCTGGGAAGAGGCTGCTGCATCACTTCAGTTGCTCCATTTGTCTCCTTGACGGCTTCAGCCACGGCCAGCAAGCAGCCATCCTGCTCCACCCCTGGGCAAAATGGGGCAGGAGAGAGGGGGAGCCAGAGGGGGTACGGCCTCGGAGCCTCCCAACAGCACCCAGAGGCACCTTACCCACAGGGATGTGATGCAAGGAGCGCCTTTTTAAATCCTCGGGAGGGTCTTCGTGAGGGGCAGTAGTGATGCATTTCCAGCCTGGACCCGTCCAAAGCCTGAGGGAGCTTCATCCCGGCTTCCTTTCCTGCAAGCCGAGTCCGGACAGGGCGGGAGCCTCCGGCCAGCTCTGCCCCCCACTGGGCACAAGTCAAGCCGCCTCTTGGCCGGGTCTCGCTCTGGGCCCCTCAGTTGGCAAGCTGAGCTCCCCTTTCACAAGAGTGGATGTTTTATTCATCAGGGTGGAATAAATGCATTACGGCTTTTAATTTTTTTTAAAAAACAGAAAAGACGCATCCCTGAATCAGTCCAAGAGCATCTTGGATTCTTTTTTCCTTGAGGCTGGCCTCAGGCGCCACGGAGGAGGAAGAGGAGGGGATCCCGAGGCATTTGGGCAGCCAGGATCTGGCCAACCTGGCATGGTGACAAGGAAGGCCAAGCGTGGGGTGGGTGGCCCTGGGATGGCTCTGCCCCACCTGTTGCACCTGGGCTGGGCTGGGCTGGGCTACGGTGGTGGGGTGGATCCACCTGCTGCCCGCCGGCTCCCCTCCCCCAGCAAGCACCATGGGCGGGGGTTGCTCTATTTTTAGCACCCCTGCAGAGGCACAGAGAAGCCTCCAAATTTGTGCTCCGAAGCCCATCAAGCTTCAGAACAAACTGTTCGAACACGTCTTCCCCACCAGGCGCCAGGACCATCTGTGGCTCTGAATGCAGATGCCGCTTCGTGAGCTGCTTCCTTCTCCTCCCCCCCCCCGTCTTGGAGGAAGGAGCCCCCATCCCGGCCACCCTGGGCAGGCAAAATCACAGTCCTTAGAAGCCTCTCTACCTGCATCTCCCCCCCTCCGCCAGCCTCTCTATTTTTAACACTCCCCCCCCTCCTGCAAATAAGAAGAGGGGAGAGGGAGACTCCGGGACTGTGGAGACAAGGAAGAGGGACCCAGGCTGAGGAGCACAGACCCTCCTGGCCTCGCCCTGCCTTCTACCTGCCTGGGGACAGTTGTGCTCAAAGTTGTGGGTCCTGTGGAAGGTGTGGCAGAGGGTTTTCCAGAGGGAGGGGGATCTCAGCATCAGCCCCGGAGGAGTGGGGGGTCCATTCAGCAGCCTCCCCCCCTCAGCAGCTGCAGTCAAGAGCCTCCCCCCACTTTTGCCTAACAAATGACATTTATTCTGATGAAATGTGCTTACAGTCGCAGAAAAAGCAACTCCTTTAATTGAAGCACAGCTAGCAGTTTAATAAAGCCATAAAGAGGATGTAAATAGGGACATGAAACGGGAGGAGGGGGCCGCCCGGCACGGGGATGCTTGGGAGGGGGGGGGCTTGGAGCTGCCATTGGAGTCAGCTTAGCAGAAGGGCGGGGGTCCCCAGGAGAAGGCAGGGGGAGTCTGAGCCACCCTTTGGGTGGTGGTGCTCGGGCACTGCTAAGTGGGGTCCAGCCCCACCAAGATGGGGATGCAGCTGGCCCAAGAAGCAAGGGTGGGGAACCTACAGCAGCCTCTCCATGAGCTTGAAAGTTGGGGGGGGGCGCCGTTCTGGTCCAAAGCCAGAGCTGCCCATGGGTGGTTTTGAGCAGTGGAAACGGTCGCACCCGAGACCACCTGCGGACTGAACTCTTGGGGCCCCAGTGGTGGGAGGGCTGCCAGGAGGGGGGCAGGAAGACAAGGGGAGAGGCCTCCTGCATCCTCTGACCTGGGGAAAAGGCTGTGGCCCTGGGACACAGTGGAGTCCGGGCCCCTGAAGAGTTCAGCCGGCCCCTAGTCTCATTGGGGCCCTCCCCCCACTTCGGACCACGTTGGTGCTCTGGCTCGTGGCTACACCTGGATGGACTGAGCTTACAAAAGGAATTTTACTGCTGGAGAGAGGTGAATTTGAATAAATTAACATAGTTAAATAGTATTTTTTAAAAAACCTTTAAAATAGGGATTTAAAGAGAGAGGCGAGATGATTAGGCTGCACCAATCCCCTCCACCCAGATGGCTCCGGCTATGGCCAAACTGAAAAGAGCGGCGCAGGCAGAGCCGGTGTGTTTTGTGCCACTGAGTGTGAGTCTGTGTGTGTGCCACTCAGGCGGCCTCCAGATGGTCTGGAGTCCCACTCTCAAATCGCCCTTGGCAGCACCGGGGAGGCTGCGCCAAGACGGGGCTCTGGGCTCATTTGTATCTGAGGCCTCTCCTCGCATCCAGGCCGATTCGCTATTCCGCCTGCGGGGTCTCCAGCACTGGGGGGCCCTCCGGAGCCCCTGCTGATCAGCAAACGGGCGCCAGCCTTTGGCAGGGTTGGGAGGGCCCCTGCAGCCAGGCCCCGCCGGCCCTCCCCCTCCCCCCAACGGACAAAGAAGACCCTCTTGGGCCCTGCTTGGGGTCATGGTGGGGCTCTAGCCCCCCCAGCCCCACTGAGGCCCAGAAGCCATCTGGGTCATGCTGGCCAGTCCGCTTCTCTCGGCCCGGCCCAGCTTGCTGGGGTTTCGTGGAGAAAACTGTCAGAGGAACAAGCCCCCCCTTCCCCCCCACTGGCTCAAAGGAGGGGGGGCTGCAGTGGAAGAGACCGAGGGGAGTTCAAGGGAGCCGCTGGAAGGGGCTCGTTTCTTTGTCTCAGCCGTGAATCAGGCGCGGCTCCCCCCCCCGTGTTCCATAAACGCCTCCTCTGTTAGCAACGCATGTCAGCTTCGACTGATGCGCTTACACACAATACCTGCAATTTGTTCCAAACTCATTGAAAAGGTTTCTTTGCTTCTCCCCCAGGCTGTGTTGGGGTTTATTCCTTTGCTTTCTTTTGTTTCCATCACTCAGTTACTTTTTTATTTTTATGTTCCGGGATTCTTTTAAACTCCTACAAGAAAGCTATAAACGGAAACATTATTTTCAGGGCTAACACTAGTTAAGCAAGCAGCCTGTTGCTTCCTCGGAGGAAAACTCCCCGGCTACAGCCCAGCCCTGAAACAGCTGCAAAGCAGAGATCCCGTTTGCAGCAGCCAAAGGGACCCCTTAAGGACAGCTGGCTGGACCCCAGGTGTGTGTTGTGTGTGTGAAGAAAAAAGGGAGGGGGGGTCCGGAGGAGGACCGGCCGGCCAAGGGCTCCCTCTTTCTTCTTTGTGCCACGAGGCGCCTCCTTCACCCCCTCCCTCCCTCCCTCTCACAGGGGCAGCGGCAGCATCCTTCTCCTGCCTCTGCCACAGGCCCCGGCTCATGGCCTCCCAGAGACCCAGAAAAAAATCCCCCCCCCCCCGATATTCCTAAGGCGGCCTAGTCCAACTCTGGATATCTCAACAGAAGCCGCCCACGGAGGCCCCTCTCCAAGAACCAAAATGTTTTATTTGGCGTCAGTCCAAGAGAGCTCCCCAAACGGCTCCCGAGGGGGAAGGCCTGCACATCCGTCTCTTTCACACCTAGGCACACCCACACCCACTCCCGTGGTTGTGCATTATGGTTCTGGCAGCACCAGTGGGGGAGAATCCATCATCCACAGAAGAAAACCTGCTTGCAGATCCGTTTTTCATGCCGCTGCTGAAGCCCTGAAGAGGAAGGAAAGAGGGCAGGCTGAAGGAAACCTGGGTCTGCAGTTCCCCCTCTAGGCTGGCAGGGCCCCTTCCCATCCAGACCCTCAGCCTGCCTTGCTTCGGAACAACACCCGGGGGAGTTCCCAGGCCCAGGCAACTCGGGTAAAAGCCACCCTGGAAACGTCACACGATTTGCAGATAAATGAAGAGGACATTTGCTAAGGCTGAGCTGCTCCCATCCAGTCTCTTAATTGGCTCTTAATCAGCTCACTTGTCAGTGGAACAGGCCAAAATGCAAAACCTTCCAGCTTGGCAAAGAGGAGGCCAAAATAAAGTGGTGGTGGAGGAGGAGGAGGAGGAGGAGGAGGAGGAGGAGGAGGAGGAGAAGGAGAGCTGCTGCTGCTGCAAAAAGACTGGGATCTCCCATGGACCTAGGAGGACAACGGCTGCGAAGGTTCCCTCCGGTCCTTCCTTGCTTTCTCTGTCTCTGGGTGGGCGTCTGTCTCCTCAGGCCAGGCAGGGAAAGCATAAAAGAAAGGCAGCAGCCCATCCTAAGAGCTTGGCTGGCTGAATGGCAGCTGTCAGACCCCCAAGAAGAGGGGAGAGCAATGCTAAGAGGAGCCAGGAGCTGCTTGCGTGTTCGGGGGCGAGTGGCCAGAGCTGCAGAGGGGCTCTTTTCATGACAGCTGAGGAGCCCCCAGAGCTGGTGGGAACTTCCCCATCTATGGCTGAGGGAGGAGGCCTGGTCCTGGGTCTTAGTCGGGGGAAATGGCTCAGCTGATCTTAAGGAGGGGGTCCTAGGAATTTGGGGGGGGGGATCAGGCCAGGCAACATCTTCACGCAAAGCATGACTTGTGCTGCAGGGACCCGCCTCGGCCTGAACGAGGGATCTCCGCTGGCCGGCCCTTCCGCCACCAGGGCTGCAAGGAGAAGGCAGGTCCAGGTCCCTCTGGACGGTCCACCCATCTCAGCCCCCGGTGACGGCTGAAGCCGACTCTGCCCAAGCAGGACCGACTGATTACCTTACTCTTTTCCAAGGTATTTCATCATGATGCTGGTCACGTCGTCTTCTTTCCCTTCGGCCTCGGACCGTGGGTCACCTTTCACCCCTTCCGCGCTCCCTTGGCTGCCCACGCAGCCTTCCCCTTCCTGCCTCCGGACTCTGGGCCGGCACTTGATGCTGTCGGCACTTTTGAAAGACACCCCCGAGCCCGAAGAAGAGGAGTCGGAGTCGGAGAGGTGGCCGGGCTGCTCCTTGGCCTTCCACTGTGGGGCTAAAACGGTCTTTATCTCGGATAGGAAAGTGCGCTGAGGGGCAACGTGGTCTTCAAAATGGACACTGGGGGGCCGCTGTCCATCCTTCCTCTCCTTGGGGCCTCTGGACAGGCTACTGGTGGACTGAGCTTTCCGGACGGCAGGCAGGAAGTCGTCCAAGTCGGCCTCTGTTTTCCGCTCGTAACTCAGTGTTGGTATTTTCCAAGGAAACGGATCCTTTTCTTCACCCGGAGTCTCCCCCAGCCTCCTGCTTTGGAACGTCAGGGGCTCCTTCCCGAAATCCAGGCTGTCTTCCAAGGAGGGCTCCAGGCAGCTTCTCCGTGGCCTCGGCCGCGACGGGCCGACCACGTCTTCACCCAGGACCGGAGAGGCAACTTTGGCGTAAGGGCCCTCCTGTGTGTTCTGCCCGACGAGGGAGTCGAAGGAGCCAAACCGGGAGGCCCTTTTCAGGACCGGGGAGAAGGATGGCCGCAGCCCACAATCCGAGGAGGGGCTTCTCAGACCGGAGGAGCGGACCAGGTCGACTCCGGGGTTTGCACCAAGCTCCTCCAGGTGGATTTGGAAGTCTCCGCTGTCCTCCTTCAGGGCCCTGCGTCTCCTGAGGAAGGGAGCCCCGGTGGTTTGGTAAATGGGCAAGGAGGAGGCCTCCTCCTCCTCCTCCAAGGGCGCTTGAGCCTTCAGCCGCTCCCTCCGCAGCCCTTCCACGTACTCAGAGAGCGCAGAGGAGGAGGACGGGGGCAGCCGGTGGTCCTCCTCCGCCAAAGGAGGGAGTCTCCTGCTTGGGGAGGGAGAGAAAGGAAGCGTCTCTTCGGCTGCCGCGGCCGGAGAGGAGACCGGCCTCCTTGCGGAGAGGGACGCAGCCTCTGACTTGGGGGCGCTGTCAAATCCCCCCTGGGGCCGCCCAGAGTCTCGCCTCAGAGAGCCAGCGGAAGGGCTTTCCGGGTCTCCTCCTCCGCACCGTCCGTAGCCCCCCTTCCCTTTCCCACTTAGCAAGGAGGTTGACTGCCAGCTTTTCTCCGGGTCTTTGTTCGCCCTAGGAGGAAACAGTGGGACAAGAAACCCTGAGCTGGATGCTAAGCCTTCAAAGCTCCACACACCAGTCAGCGGAGTTGAGAAAACACACCCGCCCGGGGTTCCACCCAGGAAATACATATTTACACTTAAAACTTGAGATTAGAGAAGCTGCTTCCCCATCGGGTGGGACGCAGGCCTGGGTCGCAGTTGAAAAAGGCCAGCGGCTCCCTCCGGCTCTTGGAACTCAAGGAACTCTGCGGGAGCAGCCGGAGAGAGGAAAGCCCCCCCAGACCGCCAGAATGGTGGTCTGAATCCCCCTCCCCCGGCATGGGCCTGAATGGTGGGGATCCCAAACTGAGTTTGCCAGGGAGCTGGGCTACTCCTTCTCCTTTGCCCTTTGCTGGGGGGCAAAGAACACCTTCCCCCCCCAAAGCCGGCAACAGAAAAGCCTCTCAAATGGAATGGGAAGTGAGAAAGGTCCTGCTGAAAAATCGCATAGGGTTCCTTTCTTTTTCCCAATTTCTGCTCCGTTTTGAGAAATACACGTTTTAACAACCCTTAGCTTGGCAGGAATAAACCCTTCTGGCGAAGGAGAAGGGATGCCATCGCCATAGCAACATTCCACAGCTTGCAATCTGCAGAGCCAAGAGCACAGCCAGGCTGCCCTGAAATGAAATCTCTCTCAAGACAGCCTCTCGGTCCGTCGGCCTGTTCGCCCGTCTCCCCTGGAAGGCTGCTCACGGGCGCCTGGAGTCCCTTGCTTTCCCGACTGCCCACAGCCCGGATCCTGCCCACCTGCTTGTTTAGCATCCCAGAGTGTGTTTACAGGAAAAGGTGGGCACCCGCCTCCCCATCTCCCACAGCGCCTGGGCCGTCTTTGGGGCTGGGTGGGTGGGTGGGTGGGAGAGAGAGTTCCAGAGTGTGGCGTGAAATGACATCAGAACCACTCAGAGGCCCTGGACTGGGCTCGGTGCTGTCCAGCCAAAGCAAAGCTGCTCCTGCCTGGCTCACAGACCGGCATCACCTTGCTCGCCCACCGATGGGCGAGGAGACCCGGATCCTTCCCCTGCCTCCACCCTGAGGGAGACCACCAGCAACTGGGAATCCTTGCAGGAGGGAAGCCAGAGGGGGGAAGGGGGGGAGGGGGGTCCCGGCAGAAACCTTTGTTGCTCTACGTCTGACCGGCTTGGTGGCCGAGCAAGACCCCTCCCCACCTTGCAGGTACCTCCAAGGGAGTGGGCCTTGGGGCAAAGGTGAAGGAGACCCTCCGCAGCCCAGCTTTTGAGGGGGAGATGCAGGCCAGTGAGAAGCAGCTCCACCTTCTGGAGCAGAAAATGTCCTTCTCACCAGATGCTCCGCTGAGGAACAAAAGGCTGCCCTGCCTCTCCTGCCTCCCTCTTCCTCCCCGGGGTTTTTTTTAAGGGAGCCTCCAAGGGGAGAATCTGAAAGCTTCCCTAAGCCAAGTGGGATTTTTGCAGTCTGCGATCCGCACCAAAACAAACGACATACAACAGTAATTAGTTTAGATTACACAGCAATTAGGATGATTATTATGCTTATGCTAGTTGAAATAATTTATGCAATAATATCTGTACTTGAATTGAAGCACAGAGCATGTCCAGAGACAAAAGGAGAGAAGCGGCAATTGCGCAGAGGGACGGGCCGACTGAAACGACGCTGCTTTGTGCGGTCGAGAAAAGCCAGCGCTGCCTGGGATGCAACACGGCTTCCACCCTCCGGTGGCATCGGAGGATCCCGGGCACACGTGTGCCAGCTGCCACCAGATCTTCCTCCGGAGGCTTGGAAAACCGTTTTGCTTCACCTCCTGCAAGGCCGGAGATGGACCCCAGGACACGTGGGGGGGGGGCTGCTGCGCCCCACCCAGGAGGAGCTTCTCCTTGGGCTCCGCTGGGCTCCCAACTGTCCAGGAGTCCTTTTCTGCTCTTTCTTCCAACCCCCCCCCCCAGTCAGGGGGATCCTCCCAAGCTCGATGCTCTGCCCTCCACCACGTGGCCCCTGCGGCCTTCCCACCTTCCAGCCTTCCCACCCAGGCCCCACAATGTCCCCTAGCTCAGAAAACCGTTCCTGTGGGCCCTCCCTTCTCACTCACCCCCCCCTCAAACTGACCAGGGAGCTCCCCACCTGCCTTTACACCCTCGTTACACAGACCCTCCGGATCCACGCTGACCCCCTCCCCCGTTGTTCACAGCCCAGCAAGTCGCAGGAAGGTAATGAAGAGGCTGGGAAAATCCAGCTGAAGCTTCTTAAAGCGGATTCGGGCTGTGGGGCGAGGAGAGGGGCTCCTTTTCCAGAGGGGACCTCATGCTCAGGGGCCGCAGAGGCCGGAGGGCAAAATGACTCTCACCTCAGGCTCGGGAGGCTCCGGCCGTCCACCGAGAGCTGAGAGCTGCTTCCAGCCAGACTGGGAGCCGATGGGGACGTCCAACCTGACCCCGTCTCCAGCCACGACCGGACGCTTCCTTCAGACTCCAGATTTAAGCTCAGCGATGAACTTGAAGCCAGACTCATCTGACTCTCCCTGCGAGGAGGAGGAGATGGGGGGGAAGAGGAGGAGGAGGAGGAGGAAGAGGAGAGCTGCAGCTTCGGCCTCCTCCGAGGAGACACGGCTGTTCCCCGACAGGCAGAGCAGGGAAGGGTTGTACACGGAGGTAATCCCACACCCTGCAGCATCTGGAAGAGCCTCTCGCCTCCACACACTTACTGAATTATTGTGACTGTGATTTAAGTTCCTGAGTCCAAGATGTGGGCAGGGAGGGGCTTTGGGGAAAAAGGCTCGCAAACATCTGGACATCTGCACTCGTGTTTCTCAACCTCAGCAACTTTGAGCCATGTGAACTTCATCTCCCAGAATTCCCCAGGCAGCGTGCTGTGTCACTTGAGACCACCACCCTCATGCTGGCTGGGGAATTCTGGGAGTTGAAGTCCACAGGGCTGAAGGCTATTAAGGCACCTACCCAACGGCATCCCATAACAGCTAAGATGGACCCCGCAGGGCCCTGCACCGGGAATGGTGCACGTTCAGGGCAGGCCCACCTTCGCCCCCAGGGGCATCCCGGCCCCCGACGGGCCCCACCCTCCCAGCGTGCAGCTCAGAAAAAGCCGAAGCCTCTTTTGGCCAGCCAGCTCTGCCCCCACTGCCCTGAGCTGCAAGGGAACCCCCCCCCCCCGGCTCCCGGGAGGCAGCAGCTGCCAGGCAGGGAGACGTGAGGTGTGAATTTTGAAGTGCAAAATGGAATAAATCCAAAATCCATGAGAATCTAATCTGCCCTTCCTTTCTATCGGCTTCTATTCATCAAGGCCCATTTTTCACAGCTGCCGATCAATGAGCTTCACGCTGCAGCCGCCCATCAGCCCCGGCCGGGACCCCCTTCAGCTCGACTTACGTCTCCTGCCGTGCACCGAGGGGATCCTGGGCTGTCTGGAGGCTGCAAGGAAGGAGAAATCAGTTCCGGTCTCAGGGACTGCTGACCCCCCCAAGGACCCCCAGAAAGCAGGACCGGGCCTCTCTGGAAATACATGCAGGCACCAACGTTCACACAGGGAAGCTGAGACCCGCCTCCCGGGAGGGACAGGGGGCTCACACGTGGCTCTTGGCTTTGTTTTCTTTAAATCCTCTAGACGCCTCGTTTGAAAATTCAGATGCGGTCAGGTTTTTTCTGTATAAAATTTATAAAGAACTGGATGTTGGCATTATTAATATTAGATAAACTGACCCGGGGTTCTCTCTTTTCCTCCTCAAAACTTGAGACTGAAGTGGGGATAATGAGCCATCCTGCAGGGCTGCTAATGCTCCATTAACAGGCTTAATCACTCTGAGCTGCACTGACGTCACGGCGGAGGAACGGCCGCGCTCGGACGTGGAAGGAAACAGCGACGCCTCCGCCATCGCCTCCTGACCATCACCAGGAGGGTCCAGGAAATTACGAAAAGGTTTTTCTTTCTGGTCCCTCAGAGAAGCATCTTGCTCTGAATGGTCAGCCCCACAAACAAGCAAACTGCAGGGGCAGAGGAGCCCGGAGCAGGGCCGGCCTCTGGCGCACTCACCTCTCCGCCTCGCCTTCATCGCTCGACTGCACCTCTTCCAAAGCCACCTGCAAGTCTGCAATGCGCCGGATCGAGGTTTCCAGGTCCGCCTGCAGAGTCTGCCTGACCGCCGAGAGCTCGTCCACCTGCTTCTCCTGGGGAAGCGGGAGAGGGATTCGGGGGGGGGGCAAAGGCAAGAAGGGTGGGCTGTGAGGCCTCCAAAGCTATTTCAGTGATGGATGCGGGGAGACAATGCAGGACTCCCAACAGCCTTAACTCAGCTATTGCATTAACCCATTTTCTGAGTTCCCCCAATGCTGACCATAAGCGA